TATTTTGAGTGTACTATTTTGTGATTGAATTACATTTAAAATATATTTAGAATGTACTTTTATAAAAATCAGAAGTTTGCTTCTTAAAATGTGAAGCAGTTGTTTACAAAATGTTCAAAGAAATTTTATTGCACTAAATGAGAAGCACAAAGTTCACCTTGAAGTGTTACACAATGACCTGTCAGCCTGGAAACACGTCACTGAAAGGAAAGTGAAAGTATTTTTAACATAGAGGAACAGAGCTGAGACGCCATTACAGGGTCAGAGTTTTAACTGAAACACAAAGGTTTAATCTAAAGAGAAAGAAGAAACTTTGACTGGGTGAGTTCTGGGACTGAGAGATTTCTGTAGAAAATGGCAGAAAATACTGTGGTTCTTGAAAGTTACCTGAGCTGCCATGTTTGTTCAGAGACTTTCAGAGATCCTGTGTCTCTGAGCTGCAACCACAGCTTCTGTTCAAGCTGCCTGCAGAAATTCTGGGAACAAACTGGAAACAAGAACTGTCCCATCTGTAAAAGAAGATCATCAAAGGTGATTCTGCAGGTAAATTTTGGACTGAAGGAACTGGCTGATTCTTTTACTGGAAGACAGAAATCTGGATCATCTCAGAGAGAAAAAGGAGAAAAGCAGCTGATGGTCTGCAGTGAACACCAAGAAGCCACTAAACTGTTCTGTAAAGACGAGCAGAGAGCTGTGTGTCCTGTCTGTGAGTTTTCTCTCCACCAGAGTCACAAAGTGGTTCCTATAGAAGAAGCAGTCAGTGAGCTGAAGGAGCAGCTGAAATCTGACTTAAAGTCTCTGCAGGACAAGAGGAACAAACACAAACAAGTGGAGAAAACATACGATGATGTGATTCAACACTCCAAGAAGCAGGTGTTGTCCACAGAGAGACAGATCAGAGCAGAGTTCAACAAGCTCCACCAGTTCCTGAAAGAGGAAGAGGAGTCCAGACTGGCAGCTCTGAGGGAGGAAGAGGAGCAGAAGAGGAAGACTATCATGAGAGAGATGAAGAGGATTGAGGAGCAGATCTCCTCTCTATCAGACAGCATCTCTGCTGTTGAAGAAGAGCTGCAGAAAGACAACATGTCGTTCCTCAGCAGTTATGAAGCCACTCAAAGCAGAGCCAGAGGTCAGAGGTCACTGCCAGTTTCACAGCTGGTCTCAGGAGCTCTGATAGATGTGGCCAAACACCTGGGCAACCTGTCCTTCAGAGTCTGGGAGAAGATGAAGGACCAGGTGAAGTTCAGTCCCTTCATTCTGGACCCAAACACAGCAAGTAGATGGATCCATCTGTCTGATGATCTGACCAGTTTGAGGAATGGAGACACAGAGCAGCAGCTTCCTGATAATCCAGAGAGAAACACCAGGTACTGCAACATTTTTGGTTCTGAGGGCTTCAGCTCAGGGAAACACAGCTGGGAGGTTGAGGTGACAGATCATCCTGACTGGACTATTGGTTTGGTTAAAGAGTCTGTTGACAGGAAGGGAGAGTTCAAGGATGCAGTTTCATATGGAATCTGGTGTTTATCTTATTTTGAAGGAAAATACACTGATTATGGTAAGATTCTCAAAGTGAAGAAGAATCTACAGAGGATCAGAGTCCAGCTGGACTATGACATGGGGGACGTGTCCTTCTACGACTCTGAAGACATGACTCTCATCTGCACCTACAGAGACACTTTCACTGAGAAACTCTTCCCTTA